GCTACATAAAGCCAATAAATCACAAAAATATCACCTATTCTTACCACCATTTCAGAAAATAAAGGACGATTTTATATCACAACAAAAAGCAAAAATGATATAATCCTGGAACAAAGAATTTTTTTTTTCCAAGGCTGGAGCAAACTTACCTTGATATTTTCACCAGACCAATGAAAATTTTCCCATATACACATACTATTCCACAAGCAGATATTTGCAAATTACTGTCTCAAAGTGCAGTGAAACCAGAGGTGAGAAATTGTGCAGACTATAACCTCAATTTTATTAGCAACCTTTTAAAGCATTAAATTGACCTAAGTCAATTTTCTTATGTAAATCCTAAATATGGCTCTCCAGTGACCTGCCAAGTGATAAATTGAGTCTGAATGTGTTTATGTGCAAGTTCCACTTGTTTTATGACAATGGCTGACCTTGTGAGCTACCAGATTATATAGCATCTGCACATGGTGCCATTTAAAGGGTCCTAAAAGGTCGACTGCCACAAAATATCTCCACTCCTTCCTTCTAAGGAAGCCATTCATTACACATAGGCTACACAGCAAAGATGGGAACTATCTTCAGGAGACAGTAGTTCAACTGTGCAAATATAGTTTCTTGCTTGTAATTCAGCAGAGGTTACTATCTCCTATGAGCTACTTAAAACATTAGCCTGAAGGAAGGAAAAACATAGGACACTTCTAAAGCAGGAAGTTGAGAATAGAGAATCAAAGCATGTCTGGTTAGCAGGCTGGCACAGAGACTTTATCACATGAAGTCAAACTGGAGGAATTAGGAAACCTGGAGTTGGTGCTATGTTTGGGGAAACCCCAAACATAAATCTTATGTTTGTGTACAGACCTACATCTGTCTTGCACCAGTTTAGGTATATACTGATTACCTGAAATCTTTAAAATCATGTATACTTTTTTCATATAACTAAGTAGATACATTGCCTATCCCTATCCTATAATGAACAGAATTTCCTGAGACAAACCATTCCTCTTGATACTGACGCTGTTCAGGACACTCTACCCCAAAATACGGCATCTTGGCATTTGAGGAAACAGCAGAAGCAGAAAGGTCTCTCTGACCTTCTCCCAACATATCTCCTGAAGCAAGTCATTAAAAAATTCTCTGACCTTCCCCAAAGGAGGTCATAAGGCCCTCATTCCAGAGGGGTCTTCCCTGTTCCCAGAAGAAAGGACACAGGGAACCAGAGGGGCACTGAACAAACAGGATTTGCTAAGTCCCCTCCAGTTTATTGCCATTAGATCATATCCTTTTGTCTTCCAATCATACTTCTGCACGGCTGCCCGTGGAAACACCCAGCTCCCTCCTTCTTTGGGTCTTCATCTCTGAAGGCTTTTCTATCATGCAAAACTTATGTTAAATAAATTTGGTTATGCTTTCTCTTCTTGTTAATCTGTCTTTTGTAATCTGTAGGGGCTTGAGCCATGGATCCAGCAATGGGTGAGAAAATCTCTTCTCCCCTACAATACACATTTCACAAACTTCAAATTACAGTCAACAAAAATTCCATCCATGTAAGGGGAAGCTTAAGGATACACATGGAGTATTATGTTAGTGGCAAACATATGATGTCACATTAAAGAAGCAGCAAGCTGTTCCACCTACTTGAGAACTGAATGGAGAAGCCCGACTTGCTGATGAAGAAGTCACTGTCGAACTGCAGGGTGAGAGAGTTGAAGGTGCTGTGAATGTCCTCGGGAAGGGCGGAGCCACTCCACTCCTTCAGCAGGATGTCACTGTCCACTGGGCCATCCCACACCTTGAGAATATCATGAGCCATCTCAGTGTCAAAAACTATGAAATGAAGGCTGCAAGAGAGAGCACGGTTTGTATGTTTAATCATAATAATACTTCCCATTTACTGAGTGTGTCCTAACCACAATGTTGTAATGCAAACTAGTTCATTTCATTTCCACCGCGCCCCCCTCAATGTGCCTCAGTATTAACTGACAAAGATGAGGGAATCGAGGCTCATAGAAATTAATTCACTTGTGCAAATTAGAATATAGCACAAACTACTTCAGTCTATTATGGAAGCAGAGAGATAGCTGAGCTAGATGCTAAGATATCCATTGAAAATTTAAAAAGAAATCCTTTAGAGACTGCCGGATCATTTTATAATTCAAAACTTTTCAGGACACACAAACAAAGAAGAGTTTGACACGGCTTTGTTTCAAGCTAAAGTCAATTTTAATATATATGTCAGTGTTTTTCTTAAAATGTCCCACTAGGTGGAAGCACCCACACTGGGAGAAAAGCACATGCAAAGATGCTGTTTGCACCAGAAACATATTTTGTACTTCTATCTGTCTGAACGGTCTGCTCTTGTGCGGTATTTGTTTCTACAAATTTTATTTTCAGAAAAAAACACATTTGAAATACCAATCCAAAGGCAGAAATGCATAATATAAACTCTCTTCTTTATAACGTTTTAACACACTCCTATTAGACTTACACATGTTTTCCAGAGTAACTTAAAAATCTTTGTGCCTGAGGAAGCTCACATTCACAGGCAGCAGACACGTAGTCCTATTTATGGCAATTCAAACAGATAAGAGTTTAGCTAAAACACCAACCAAAATCTGTACTTTTTTAATGCGTGGGTTTATTCATAGATTTTCATTTACTGCTTACTGCACATTGATTGTAAGGAGGATAAAATCACAATAGATGACATACAGAAACTGTACACAAATCTCACTTTATTTTGCACAAATTACATTTTTAAAAAAAATCTATCTCACTCTGAGTAATGTATAAAATAGGTAGTATATTTTTAAAGTGTTCAATATAAAATATTGAATATAGACAAAAGTCCAGAATACAGCAGACATCTGTTACCCCCACCACCACTAATGTTCACTTTTTGCCCTCTTTGCTTCATATCTTTCATAAACAGGATCTCACAGGTACAGCCAAGCATCCCTTCATTCCACTGACTCATCTCTTCTTTCTCTCATCCCACACTCTGAAGTTGCAATGTACTATCTCCATTTATATTTTCACGTGTGTGTATGTGTGCATGTACGACTATATCCCTAAACAATACATAGTGATATGTTGTGTGTTTGGCAGTGATTACACAATAGAAATCATTTTGTCACGTACATTTTTGTATCAATTCAATTTGCTTTTATATTCAGCATTATATGAGACTCCTCTGTGGAGAGAACTAACATTAATAAAGCAAATGTATTTCACAGGGCCTAGCTTCCAAAGCCCTGTAGTTTCAGGTATAGCCTAACTTTTTTAAATTACACATAGAAATGTTAAGCTTGCAAACGACAGGAAACTTTTCACAGGCTAAAGTCTCTGTTGTAGATAAAGAATTGTAACACAGCAAAATTGCTGGCTCAAAGGGCAGATGTCCTTAGTGCAGGTTAACCTTCTGATTGATATGTTGAGAAAGTTACTTGATTGTTATGTAAATATACTGAGGAAATTGCTGTAGGAAAAGAAAGTGTTTGCTTAGAACAAGCTTTTGTTGGTGGATTGACTTAACCTTTTGCAAATTGCATTATGGAATGTCACTTTGTTTATTTCACTGATGTTACTAGTTTCCATTGTTAAAACTATACTTAGTTAGCCATAACACTGCCCATGTCCTTGTGTTCTTTGTAATGATTAAATCAACTGAATTTTCTTCTGAAACTTCCTTGTGTGTACAATAAAAGGGAGAAGCTAACTTTGAATCAGGGCCATTGCATTCAGCTTTCTCTTCCTAATGGGGAAATTACTGAAGTGCAGTCCTCGTGGGCTTCTCAATGCATTCATACTGCTTTGAGTAATCAAGTAATTCTTTCTTACGTCACCGTTACACTCCTCTGTTCTGAAAAAAAGTAGAATCATGTTAATTTACTTTAAAACATGAGTAAGTGCTATATTTTTCTAGTCTCTTCTGAAGGATAGTTAGTTTCTAGTTTTTAATTATGACAAATGATGCTGCAATGGACATTCTGGAACACTGATCCAAGGATCTTTGTAGCTGGGCATCAAGAAGAGGACTTGCCAAGTTATTCGTCCCGTGACTCCAACTACTTAACTACGTGTAGTCTCACAATAGTGAACGGACATCCTTGTTTTGTTAAATCTTTACCTATACCTGATGTTATCAGATCGACAATGGTACAAATAGAAAATATGATGTTTGTGAAATGGCATCTTGTTTAAATTATGTTTCCTTGATTATTCACAAGGTTGGTATTTTTTGTGTGTATATAAGGCATTTCTCCTTCAATATTGTTCAACGATTCAACAAATATTTATTGAGCACAAGCAGTATACAAGGCACACGTCTCGGAACTTGGAATACATCAGTGAACTAAACAAAGACCCTGTCTTCATGGAGCTTATATTAAATGGGAGGAGAAAAACAGTGAACAGCAACCATAACAACCGAGTAAAGAATACTGCATGTTAGTAAGTGGTAAATACAATTGAAGAAAGAAGAACAAAAGACCATAATAAGGACCATCAGGAATGCCAAGATTGGGGGGAAAAAGCGGAAGACTGAAGCATTAAATGAGGTGGTTAAGTTAAGCCTTACTGGTGAGGTGAGATCTGAGCAGAGACCTGAAGGAGTTAAGGGAGTTTGTCTTATTGTATGTGAGGAAAGAGTTAAGCCAAGCAAATTACAATTCCTTGAAATTGATAAGACAAGCATACAGAAAGGACATTGTTGGGAGGGAGGGGGGAGAGGGAGGTGGGAGGGAGGTTTCGATAATTGGCCACAATAATCAACCACATTGTATACTGACCAAATAAAATAAAATAAAATATTTTTAAAAAATAATAAAGGGAAAAAATAAATAAAAAACAAAAAAACTCCTATGTAGGGGATAACATTCGCGGACAACCTGGAGCCCGGTATAGCCACAGCAGAGGGAGGGACCGAGAAGCAAATGCTAAGATCAGGGAAGAAATAGGTTTTTTTTCGGGGGGGAGGAGAAAGGAAGTGCAGGGAGAAGGGGAAAAACACATAGGCCATTATAGACAATTTTAAGGATTTTGTCCTTTACATAGGGTGATATGCCACTGAAAAATTAAAGTGCTTTCTCTGTCAACAACAGACTGTCCAAGGAACATGTAGAATCTGTGAACTTCTTCAGTAATCCAGGTAAGAGATGCCTGTTACTTAGAAGAGCTTGACAGTGGAGGTACCAAGAGGTTATCAGATTCTGGATACATTCACAGGGAAGAGAAAGCAGAATCAGATTGAGGCATGTGCGAGAAAGAGAGGATGCAGGTCTCAAGTTTTTGGCCTAAGAAACTAGAAAGTTGGAGTTGCCATCAACTGAATAGAGAAAGGGTGCAGATGGAACATGTTTGTGGGATGTGGAAGACCAGAGATTCTGCCTTAGAGATGCTGAGCTCAGAATGTCTAGAGACGTAAAGCAGAGAGGGTGAGTAGGCAGTTGTTTATGTGAGTCTGGAGTTTCAAAGATAAGCGTGGATGGAGATTAATATACATGTGTCTTCAGTAAAGAAATGGTTTTGAAACCATGGGACTAGATGAAATCATCAAAGATCATAGGTGAAGAGGAGACCATGGACTCTGAATTGCCTGCTCAGATATGTTTGCCCATTTTCATAATGTTGTTATTACAGTATATTAGGTTATGTTATGTTATGTTACATTATAATATTATTGCTGAGAGATTTTGTTACACACCTTTATCATGTTAAGAAAAATTCCCTGCTACTTACTACATGTTAGAAGGGGTTTTGTTTTATCTGGTTTTGTTGTTGATCATAAAAAAGTATTAAATTCTATTAAATTATTTTCTACACCTATTTACATGATCATAGAATTATTTGTTCTTAATATACACGGGAGCAATAATTACATACTAGATACCATTGTGGCATGTATGTGCTTAAATTATTGAGTTCAGTTCTTTATTTTTCTTTCTTTTACTATATTGTACTATACTTGTCCTTTCTTATATATATTATACTATACTTGTTTGTGCTATATTTTCTTTTCTTCTGACAGGAAGGTTATTTTAGCCTCACAAAATGAATTGGACCACTTTTGTCTGAAAGACTGTTTTTCAAAGTATTAATATAATGTAATCTATTATTTTTTTCAATTTTATAAAAAAAAATTTCTACTGTATAGGTATATCTCTATTTCCATTTCAATTATTGATTATTTTGATCTCCTGTGTTTATCTTAATAAATCTTGTCAGTTATTTGTTTAATCAATAATACTTTTGCAGGAATTAGTTTCTGGATTTGCTAATTACCTTAATTGTTTCTTTCGTTATTTTCTTTTACTATATTTGTTGTGTTTTTCACTTCTGCTTCTTTGAATTTATTCTGATGCTTTTTTCAATTTGTTATTAGCTGAATCCTTAACTTTTTTATTTTTCAAATTATCTTCTTTTTCTAATATGTGCATTTAGGGCTTTAAATTTCACATTAGCTGTTAATCATGTGTATTTTTTATTTTCAAAATGGAGGGTGTGTTTTATTACTTTCTCGTTATACATTTTTATTTCTATTCCTTTTGGGTCAGGATATGAGGTATAAAAGATAGTTGTTCTCTGTATTTACTGACAGTTGGTTTGTTTTTACTACATGATCATGTTTATATAGTTTTCATATTTACTTAAACAGAATGTACAGGTTCTAATTGTAGGTTGTATATATCTTTCAAAAGCTTAATGACTATGTGGTTCAAATCCTCTATAAATATATTAATTTGCTATCTGTTTGATCTATGAATCATAAAGAGGTAGAAGCCTATGCAGATACCTATGTTTCCATATAACTCAGTCATTTGTTGGAGTGTTTGTCCTGAAA